CAATCTCTTCTATATATTTTTTTTGAAAGAATCTTCCTTTTTAAGTCAACTTCAATGTATATATTATTTTCCTTTAGAATTCTTTCTAAAGGATATCCATGATCTACATGTTTGAAATGTGAACCATAAGTTAGGATTTGGTTTGGAAATTGTATGATGGTATGAATTTTACTGTACAACTATGTATCATTATCCAAAAAAAAAGAAAAATCACTACTCATTAGTTTGTTGTAACCCATGTTACTATACTCTCTCCGTTCTAGTTTAATTTTGACATTTATCATGACACATAATGTTAGACAAAATTAAATTGTGATAATTTGTTATTAGTTATTATTCTATTGAAATAGTACATGTGAAATGCGATAGTGAATATCTATAATATAATTCGTATATTATAAAGCGTATCTAAACAAGGTTACATGCCACGTGAGGCTCTCCTCATTTCCTAAACAACCTTACATGCCATGTAACGCTCTCCTCATATAATTAAGTCTTTCATTACATGTGTTTAGAAGTATGAATTGTGGAAGATTTGAACTCACAACCTTAAATTAAACCTCTAAGCTACTACCATATATTATATGTTATTCTTTCAAAATAAAAATTAGGATTTTTTGTAAAAAATTAAATAACCACCCCTAAAAGCACCCTTTGTTGAACTAACCACCTGTTGTTGTTGTTTTTTTTTTTTCGAAATTAAAAAATACCACCCCTAAAAGTCAAAACAAGTAGATATCCCCACCCTTGTCCTATTCTAGCTAGTTTTCCAACTTAGTTCAGCTAGTTTTCTGACTTAGGGCCCACAAAATATAAAATCAAAATTAAATTTTAAAAAAAAAATCCAAACCCACCCCTGCCAAGTTGCCACCTCTGGTAGGTGACAACTCTTCCACCTCCGACACCCCCTCCCCTTTCCTATTTCCGTTTCCGACACCCCCTCCCTTCTCCGTTTCCGTTTCTGGCAATTCCCTCCCTTCCCCAGAAAAATTGAATTTGATTAAACCAACAAATTAAAACCCTAAAAATATAGATGACGTGGAGAAGCGAGTAACGCGAATTCTGTGTCAATCAGGGAGGGGGTGGTTTCGAGGTTGGCTAGGGAGGGGGTTTTGCGGCAGGGGTAGGGGCTAGGTGGGGTTTCGTGGACATGGGTGGGGGTTTGGTGGGGATTCGCAAGCAATAGTTGGGGCTTGGTGGGGTTCGCCGACAGGAGTAATGGCTGGTTGGGGTTGAGGTGGGGGTGGTGCGGGTGGTGGCTGATTTGGGTGGGGTGGGAAGGAGATGGGGGAGGGAGTGGCTGCCAGGGGCTGGGGTTAGGGGGGATTTTTTTTAAAAAAAATTGATTTTATTTTAATTAATTACTTTTATTTATTTTTTTATTTTTGACCAATCACTTGGTGACACATGTATCCTAAGTCGGAAAATTGGCTGAAATTAGAGAAGGGTGGTGATATCTATTGGTTTTGACTTTAAGGGGTGGTATTTTAATTTGGAAAAAAACGGGTGGTTAGTTCAATGTAGGGTGCTTTTAGGGGTGTGTATTTACAAAAAAAATTCTAAAAATTAATACTGATTAATAGAATTAATCAATATCTTAGGTTATCACACCTGAGCCTAAAAATTAGTTATTTTGTTAGAAAGGTACATGCGATTATCGAAGATAATGAGCCTAAAAATTAGTTATTTTGTTAGAAAGGTACATGCGATTATTGAAGATAATGAAGTATTTTTTAATTGACTTTGAAAAAGTGTTGGGCATTAGCCTTTTGGTAGTTCAGCAAGAGATGCATTAAAAAATACAAAGTAAGGCCCCGTTTATTTTACCTTATTTTTTTGCTGAACTGAAATTATTTTTACTGAACTGAAATTATTTTTGCCGAACTTAAATTATTTTTACTGAACTGAAATTTATTTTACTGAACTGAAATTAATTTTGCAGATTTTCTTATATTATCTTCTTTAAAGATACTGAATTTTACTGAACTAAACTTATATTTACTGAACATAAATTATTTTAACTGAACTGAAATAATTTTTACTTAATATTATTCTTTTAAGGTGAGGTGAACAGGGCCTAATAGTCTTTTTCAAGATAGAATTTTAAAAACAAATTTTAATGAATGAAAAGAGAAAGTGCAAAATTAATCAGATGGTATAAAACTACAAATGATTATGAGTTATTTGGTCATTAGCTTGTTTGTAGTAAATTTGTAATCTATTTCCTTCAATTTTTTTATACTTGACCCGTTTTGACTTATACATTATTCAACACCCTTTCTTTGATTGTCTTTTGTGAATTATATGTAAGTAAAAAATATTCATGTAGGATTTTGTTAGATTCGTCTCAATAAGTACTATTATAATATATAATTTCTATAATTTTTACTTATAGAGAATTATAGTTAAAAATTGTTAAAATTTTGCATTAACAAACATAATAAATAAAACAAATTAAGTAAAAACAAACACAGGAAGTATGTTATATACTGTATTTCGTAGAACATCATGCAATGAACTATTTGTGTTTGATTTGTCTCCTTTCGTTTTCTTCTTGTGATTTAACATCCACCCTACATTATTACGACAACTATAGTCAATACAAGTATATGAGTGGGATTTATCACAAACGAAAGCTAGAATCAACCTCGATTCTTGAACCATTTTTGTGCATTCAATTAGTTACCAACTTTAAGGGTGGATATAGGCGTATAAGGCCTATGTATTTTGCATGCATATAGGAGGGTAATTGAGAATTCGGTGATACATTTTTTCTTTTTTAATGGTACAGTGGTACATTTTTGTGTACTATTATGTACTATTATGCATGTAGTGGTACTTTTTGTCATCATATTTTCTACCATCGATTTTTCTCAAATTCCCATTATTTATAAAAATGTCATCCTATTTGCAAGTGAAATATTTAGGGTCTATGCGCCAATACTTATTCACCAACTTTACCCTTTGTTTCTCTGTTTTTTCTCCATTTAGCATGGGAAACTAAAAGGCATTTGAAGGCAAATATGCCAAAAAGAAAGGCCAATTCTATAAAAGATAGCTTATGATCTCCTTTTGTGATGCTTTGTTTAGCTAAAGTACTTAGATTTCCCCCAACGTAATCGTTATTGATCACATTATTGATTTATTAGTTTATTTTGACTATAGCATGTTTAATTATATGGGTGGTGAATTAGTTGAATTTTTATTGGATGTTTATGATAATACGATGATAAGATTATAGAGTATTCCGAAGCTAGTGCGATAGTAAGTAGTGACCCTAGCTAATTCTTGCTGCTTCTGTCTTAGAAATGCAATGAGGGAATGCAAGTGAGTCTGCTCGTCCGAACGGACTTGCAAATCTTGCGAAATGAACAAAGTTAACTGCCTAGCTTGAGGATGTTCTTGAGAAAGCCCCTGACCTCCAACGATGAAGTTATCAAATTACTCTTTTTGGTTTCATTTCACACACTCCCTCCTTATTTAAATATATGCTCCACTTCTCTGGACACAGATTTTAAGGAAGAATTGTGAATAAAAAAAAAAAAAAAAAAAACCAAATTCTTAACTGTCATTTTTTGTACAATGCCAAAAATCCAACAATTAACATAAAAAAAAAAAAAAAAATAAGAATCACTTGTATTAATACCCATGAAGACCCCTTATTTATACAAGATATTATCCTCATAAGTTTTACAATAATGCACTCGTATATACTACTCCGTATTACATTTTTTTTTTTTTTTTTCATATTACATAGTTAATGAAGGTGAGGTGATTTTACTGGATAAAATTTACTAAAATGACAAAATGTTAGAAGTATATATATTTGCACGCTTAGGAGGAAACTAAGTGAAACAAATGATTAAAGCATAGGGAATATATTGAAATATAATAAGTCTTGTATAAGACGGGTGTACGCTAATTATATTATCAAACGGTTAGTTTGAGGGTAATTTTAACTATTTTTATGGTAACTTTAACCACTTAAAGGGTAACTTTTAATTTGTCGTTGGTTTGAATTTTATTTTAATGTGTAATTTCTTATAGATTCATGATTACATACTATGAAAACTAATATGATTAATCTAATATATTATAATTTTTTTGTAAGATAAAATTTACTATTAGAAAAATAATAACTTTTGTAATATAATGGGTGACTTTAAATACTTAATAATAACTTTAACCTATCTTACAACAAATTAACTTACACCCGCTTTTTTGAAGAATTTGTGGTTGAACAATCTACCTTTGTACACCAAATTACTGCTACTCCCTTCGTGTTTTAATAAGTGTTATACTTACTGAATCCAGTCGTGTTATAATAAGTGTTACATTTCATTTTTTGTCAAAAAACTACATTTACATATTATGTCTTTTTCATCTCATGGTCCCAACCTAAAACCACTACTTTTTTTTTTATTATATATCTCTTTTCTCATTCATTACTTTTCATTAAATTATTAACCACACTATCTTTCTTTTATAATTTTTTAATACACTAACTACCCCACTTACCTCTTATTTTATTTAAGTCAATTAAATTACCTAAAACTATGTACCAATCTTGTATCACTTATTAAAACACGGAGGGAGTATAAATGTTTTACTTTAGTGACATGATAAAGTAAATCATTAGTCTCTATAGTTTTTCTTTCTTTTTTTTTTTTTTTTTTAAATTACTAAGCTCTTAAACAATTTATAACCACTAGTATATTGAAAGGCACGCAATTTATGACAAAGTTTAGCATTTAGTCATTTGCTATATCATATTATGTCCAAAAAAAAAAAAGAAAAAAAGAAGAAGAAAGTGTCATTGTTTTTTTGTAGATTACTCACATGATTTCTTTTTGTTCAATCTGTATTTTACTTTTTTCTCTCTCTCATAAAAAGAACAAAAATAAGCAGAGGAAGTAAATTATAACCCAAATTGTTTTTTTAAAGTGGTGTAAATATGGTCGAATCGTTATGAGTAATTTCTCATCGACCAACGCATACATGAAAAATGTACCCAAGTACAAAGATTGGCCCTTACATAAAAGACAATATCGTGTACACCATGCCGACACAAATTATTTACGAAGTGCTGTTCATTATTGATGTACTCTAATGTACTTACGATCACCAATTTTAATGAACAAAGATTTTGTCGGTAATCAAGAAACGTTTTCTCATAAACTTGTATATATGGGGTGTACAAATTACAAAGAAACGGCCGTACACTAAAGAAATATTTAGTGCATTATTAAAATTTCATACGAAGCGTATAAAATACATTTAATGCAACTTATATGTGGTAGAATATAGGAAATACAGATTGATTGAATGTTTACAAAATTCATATTCTTAACGACGTAACCAACATTCTGGTGTGAGTGAATGATCTCTTTTACGGTCCCTGCAATAGTCATAGAACATGTAGTGTCTTTGAACCCATGTCATGACGTAATATTGCTTACGTGTAAGGCCACCAGAACGATAAGGAGAGACGGAAACCGGGCGGCAATGGAGGGGGGCGTAGGCGGAGCAACCACCAGCTTTGAAATTGGTGAATTGACCTACAAATGGTTGATACCTATAATCTGCTTTGTATTTACCATCTTCAGTTGCCCATGATGAGGCATCCCATATTGAGCCATACACCCACATTGGCCTTAGTGGGAATGTGGCATCACTTTTTCTTTGATATCTTCTTATGGGAACATCATCTACCAAAAATCTGTGTACAATAATGGGAAAAAAACAAAATGATTCTGATACATGTACTGAAAAATGAACTTTATGTACTATATGCATATTCACTGTCATAATTAAGTTAGATCAACACAAGTTGCATGTGATGTTATAACTAGATTATTGGAGGTGATCTCAATTGGTCATTGGGTTGGGTTCAGGTGGGATCTAATTCGGGTTTGAGTCATGCTAAATTATTATGGCCAGGTAAATCAAATTTTAGAGTATGTCACTTTTACGTTAAGTCGGGTCTAGTCAAATCACATTAATATTTGACACTCTTAACAAGGATATAAAATGAATAATAATAATAAAAACATGTTATTTTACTAATTAATACTAAATTTTACTTATAAAAATTGATTTTTACTTATCAAATTGACTTTTACTTCATAAAATTAAATATTAGGATGTACATATATATTTACTACGGAGTAGATTTTAACTAAAACTAATTAAATATCTTAACTTATTAGACCTTTCTAAAATTTACTTTCTTTATAAATTGAACTTGGGTAACAAAAACTTATTCAAATTTATTTTCCCTATACATATCTTATCTTAACTACTTAATTTTTTCAAATTAAGTGAAAATATGGTGACCAAAACACATTACCTTTAATCCTTAGTGATTTGCTAGTATTTTTCAATATGCATGCACCTATGTTTTCAACAATATACATCAATTGAATTGTTTAGTCTTAAGAGAAGACTCTTGCTACCACTAAACTTGATGTATATTTCTTTGAAATAAATTCGAAGAGAATCATTAATTGGACATTAAAATTTAAAATACTTGGAATAAATTAGTCAAGACTAAATATAAAATTTTTATTGATCAAAACCAACTTAATCAAATTGATATTTAGTGATGAAAAATTGAAAATAGATTGTCGTCTGTGATTCACTAGTTTTTCACTTTGAACCTATTTATTCATCTATAAATATCATTCATCATATCAGAGAGATTTATTATTATTGTAAGTATAATAGTATTATAGTGCAAATTGAAGCTATCAAAAAGATGTAAAAAGAGTGAAAACAATAGTTACTCCTTAATAACTCCAATTAAGTGTTGCCCCTAAATTCCAGCTAGATCCCAACTACCAAAAACAAAATAATGGTGATGAATGCAAAAGTCAGAAAGAGAAATTAAAAATAAAATAGACTCCATAATCTAATTAATGCAATTATTCTACAAAATAATAACAATAATAAAGCAAATATATATCCTAGTAATAATAATAACTCTATTTTTAGGAAGGGGCGGTGATATATATATACAGTATGAAAAGTAAAAATATACTCACATGATTTCTTTAGGGCTCCAAAAAATGGCATAATGATGAAATCCCTTAGTTGGATCAAACCAAAGATGGAATTTCATCTCTCTTCCAATAATATTGCCATCTCCACTTCCCCTTATGTATACATTTGTTTGTAACACATAAGGTTTTCCAAAGGTTGTCCCTAAGAATTCCATGTCTACTTCATCATGGTGCCCTGGATGCGCCTCGTTGTTGGAAAGCTGCGAATACCATCATCTCGTAAATATTATACTATGTTAAATGTCACGTTACTAGTTCAAATTACTTTTTTTATTAATAAGATTATAAAATTTGGACCGATCATAGGATGGGTGTAATAGTTTGATCTTTATATTGATATTGATATCGTTCATGATCTGATTTGGGCCACACTTGCATTACACCATTCAACTGTTTTTAACTATTGCATTCATTATGTCGGATGCCTAGGATGAAATAAATATGCTCAATGATCTAGCTAGTCAATTATGTATATAATCTATTTATGTGTTTATTGTTTTGTAATTATCTTTGGTAATTATCTTATGTATAGTTTCCTAGTTTAACCATTCTTAGTTTAACCTAGAATACTCTTGTATATATTGGTTAATCGTTAATGAGAAAGGCACGACAAATATTCTCATATTCTCTCAAATAATGTAGTATAATTAATTTATCTTTCCTTTTATTTTATTTTTTTATTTTATTTTTTATTTTTATTATTTTTAGTGAAAAGGCCCGTATAAAACTATTTTGGATTGATAAATTTAAGCAGCAATTGAATTGAGACATCTAAGGGTACCCGACTATCCTTATGTATGTTAGTGTGTTTAAAAACACACATATATTATACGAAAGTACTTCATATGTATTATAAGTTTATAACGCATAATGCACACACTGAGTCAAGCATATATATGAGTATATGACTAAACACCTGTTCAGTTAACCATAAAAAAATGATATTCAGTAAAAATAATTTCAGTTTAGTAAAAATATGTCAGTTCAGTAAAAATAATTTCAGTTCAGTAAAAATAATTTCAGTTCAATTAAAATCAATAACACTAGAGAAGAAATATAATAGAGAATCAATAAAATTAATTTTAGTTCAGCAAAATTAATTTCAGTTCAGTAAAAATAATTTAAATTCAGCAAAAATAATTTCAGTTTAGTAAAATTAATTTCAGTTCAGCAAAAATAAAGTAAAGTGAACATGACTAGGGGTGGGACTTTTCAAACCGACCGTGAAACCGTCCGTTACCGAACCGAACCATCACGGACCGAACCGTTTATAACCCGCTAATTTTAAACCGAAAACCGAACTGAACCGTATAATGTCAAACCGAAACCGAACCGAACCAATTAATGTTAACCCGTTACGAACCGTAAACCAATAACAAACCAAACCGTTTATAAACCGAAACCGTTTGAACCGATTAATGTTAACCCGCTAACTGTTTAAACCGAACCGTTTATAAACCGAAACCGTTTAAACCGTAGGAAAAAACCGTTTAAATCGAACCATTTACAACCCGCTAACCGTTTAAACCGAACTGTTATAACCCATTAAACCGTTTAAACCGAACTATTTTCAAACCGTAACCCGTTTAAACCGATCCGATTACAAACTATTTAAACCGAACCGTTTACAACCCGTTCCATTCAAATTGAACTATTTGCAGCCTTTAACAATTTGTTAGAATTCCACGAAATATATTTGATGTTTAATGTAATTTAACTATACAATTTTTTTTACATATAATTATTGATTTAAATTTGTAGATTTTTTTGCTATTATAAAATTAAAATTATATTCTTGTATAACTAAATTAGGAGTTATAAATTAAATAAAAAAATGAAAAAATTTGGCCACCCACCCAATCCAACCACCCTCCACCCACCCACCACCGTAACCCACCCTAACACCACCCCCGCCATCACCCTAGACCCACCCTAACACTACCCCCACCCACCACCGTTACCGTAACCCACCCCCACCCCACCACCGTTACCGTAACCCACCCCCACCCCACCAACGTCAACCCAGACCCACCCTAACACCACCCCCGCACCCACCATAATTACCGTAACCCACCCCACCCCACCCCACCACCCACCGTAAATAAAAAAACCCAGACCCAAACCTTACCCCACCCCATCCACCACCGTCACCGTAAATAATAAAAACCCAGACCCATACCCCACCCCACCTACCACCATCACCGTAACGTACCCCACCCCACCCCCTTAACAAACCCCACCCCACCCCACCCACCACCGTCACTGTAAAAAAAAAAAAAAAACAGACCCAACCCCAACCACACCCACCACCGTCACCGTAACACACCCCACCCCACCCCATACAAAAAAATCGAAAAAAAACCCAAACCCACCGTAACCCCACCCCACCCACCCCCACGAAACCCAACATCCTCGAAACCCCCCAACTCACTCTAATTGCTCACCCACCATAAAACTCCCTCCCTCCCTCGAAAAATCCTCCCTCCCCACCCACCCGAACCCAGTCTAACCGCCGCCGCACCCACCCTAACTCGGCCCCCTTCGTTGCCCACAACTTGAAAAAAAATTAAAAAGAAAAACAGAAAATAAAAAAAGGAAGAACGAAAACACCTTATATATTAATCCTGAATTTGGCCTCAAATTTGGTTTTAAAAGGCCAAATTCAATCATGAAACAACTAGATCTAGAGTTTCGTGGTCGAATTTGACCATAAAAACCGTCGTGCGTGGTGCCGGTGGACGGAGACGGAGAAACGAGATGGAAGAAAGGAGAACATAGACGGAAGAAGGGAGAAGAAGGAAGAAGAAGAAAGGAAGAAGGAAGAGGAGATGAGAGAGAAAACGAGAGAGCAGTGAGCATATTAGCAGCCATGGCTTCAAAAAATTGATAATATTACAGAAGAGGATTAAGAAAACGAGAGAGAAATCAAAAAGAGTACTAAAGAGACAATGATAAGAGTGATCTGATTGGTGGAAAAGAAAACACACGGATCGTGAATTGGAATGTGTGCGATGATAGGCCATTAGATGACATGCAAATCAATGGCTGATATTTAATATAAGACGGTGACACGGATCATGGGATAATGGATTTGGATAGTATGTTTTTTTTTTATTCATAGCTACGTACTAATAAAAACACTACTGTACTCTTAACTTTATGTAACTTATAAATTGTAAGAAACACAAATGTTTGGAAATTGGAATTGATTCAATATGACATATTTAATGTATATTAGTTATATGTATATCAGTATATGTAATAAATAATAATGTATGGTACGATTGGTATCATACTATCATTGGTATGTATAGATAATCGATAAATGTATCTGATTATTAAAACTTAAAACAGTTGATGATCGATCTAATTGAATACTTCTACTTCCCCACCCGTTTTCTTTAACTTGCAAGTTGCAACATATATATGTTGCAGCCTTGTAGGCACGTAATCTTAAAAGGTAATTAGAGAGGGTAAGACAACAAAGTAATTCAGCAATATAACTTTAACACCAAAATTATGGAATAGTTACAAACAATTGTCAATTATTACTTTATTAGACTAATGGGAAATTAAATAATCGTGATTTTAATTAAACATCCAAATATAGTTCTGTAACATTAAATTATTAGTTTATTACAATATCAATTATCAATTTATCGTATTCAAAGTACCAATTCATCAAATCATGGTTATGACGCGATCTTTAAAACAATTAAAACAAGAAGCTGATAGCCTGATAATATTTGATAATGAAACAGTAATACATTAATACCTTATAAATTTGTAATAGACTAATATTTAATAAACAACAACAAGACTATAACCAAATTTGAAACATAACACATTAACATTATATAGAATGAATGAGAATTTATGTAATTCTATATAATCTGATATCTGAATCGATTTATCGTATTCAAAGTAGCAACTCATCAAAACATGGTCATGACACGATATCTAAAACAATCCAACAAGAAGCTGATAACCTAATAATATATATTTAATAATGAAACAATAATACATTAATACATTATAAATTTGTAATAGACTAATATGATAATATCGAATAAACAACAACAAGAGTATAACCAAACTTGAAAAATAACATATTAACATGATATAGAATAATTGAATAAATGAAGATTTGTGTAATTGTATATAATCCGATGTCTGAAAATAAAGTGACGAAGTCCCAACTTTATATAAAACGAAAATAGCTAACCGGTCAAAAATCTCTTAAAACCCAATTTCTACTCGATCCATTATTTTTTTCACCAACCTATGCCGACCCGCTAATGAAATGGAAATATTAGTCCCAACTTGATATAAAACAAAATGCGCTAACTGGTCAAAACCACTTTTTAGAACTCGATTTCAACCCGATCCAATTAACCGATTACCAAACTAACCCGAACGATTTTAGCACCAAACCGAGTATAAACCGAACCGATATGAATCGAACTAGCATTAACTCGGGTAAACCCGCCCTTGAACCGACCTATTTCAAAATAATCCGTTCATGACCCGAACCGATATGAACCCGGACCGACGTTGACCCGGTAAAACCGCCCCTGAACCGATCCGTTTCAAACCGGTCAGATCATGACCCGAACCGTTTATAAACCGAACGGGCATTGACCCGGGTAAACCCGCCCCTGAACTGACCTGTTTCAAACCGACCCGATTATTAACCGAACCGTTTAAAAACCGAACCGGCATTGACCCGAGTAAATCCGCCCCTGAAGCGACCCGTTTCTAACCGATCTGATTATGACCCGAACTGTTTATAAACCGAACCGTTTATGACCCGAACCGAATTTAAATCGTACAAAAATAAACTGAAACCGAACCGACCTGTGACTAATCAAAACCGAACTGAACCGACCCGCCGTCTAAATGAAACCGTTTTAACCCGAACCGTTTCAAACCGAAACCGTTTAAAACTGAGGTCAAACCGAACTGCCAGACCGATGTCCCACCCCTAAACATGACCTAATAAAGCACAACATGTCCCTTGGTCGTACAAGTAGCTCATAATTGCATCTAGACATCGAGTATATATATAGCTAGTACACAAGATTTTAATACCTTATTTTAAGACAAAATTATCAAACTTATAAAGAGTTGGTAAATCAAGTAATATACTTTGTAACAATAATGAATAGTACGTACGTGTAACATTATAAAATTAAATAATCTTAACTAATGTGGAAATAGACTGATAATTGTTCTACGTACTTTTTAGTACAACTTATTAAATCTAACTTTAATTTTATATATAAAAAAAAAGAAATATCTAATAAATTAAACCGACAGAATTATATATGAAATGGAATTTCCAAATCAGAAATTATTCTTTGTAGGTTGTTTAATTTGTCGTGGAACGGCTCATGATTAAGTTTTATAGTGGATATATATATATATATTTTTTTTTTGGATATAAGAATTTTAATTTTATATTTTTGATGGGTGGATGTACGTAAAACAATGGTATGGACTAAAGCAAGAATCTTAATTTAATTTGTACGTATTACAAATTACAAAGGGGACCAAACCAATCCTCAAAATAACAAAAAATAAAATAAAATAATAATACTAATAAACTTAATTTATGAATAATGTATTACTATATATAATTTGACACTTGTGACTTTGTAAGTGAGAATTACATAAATTGGCAAACTGACAAATATAATACCAACAAAATCAAAGTTTATTGTGTGATAAAGTAATCCCACTTAGATTGTGATGTTTAATTAAGGAGTTGCATTAACAATAATTATTAATAATGCAGCTAGCAATCAATTATTAAGCAAGTTTTAGTAAGTTGAATAATCTTACATAGAATGCTGTTATTACTCCAGCAGTGTACCCTTGTTGCAACTTGATTGATGTACCAAAATACCCGGATCTAAACGGGCGAACCGACTTGAACCCGCTTCCTATACGTACCAAATATATATAGCATAGTAATTAGAAACAAACTTTAAAACACGTTGATAGATATTATAGTTATGATAATATTTGTCGTAAATTGGGATAATAATTGTGTACCATTGATCAATATATATAGAGTTTTACAAAATATTGTAAACCTAGTACGATAAGGATACAAAATATATACAGTTATTATCCTTCTGCGACAAATGTTATCATAATTATAATATCTATCACATGTCAATTCCTTTGCTCAGATTTAGTTGTCTGTCTACAAAATAAATTACATTATTGTTAATATGGAGTATGAACATTATTATGTAGTAGCACAAAACAAGTATGACATAACATAAAGTAGTATATATATAGACGTGTCTAGTGCAATATTCGTTTCATGTCATATGTAATTCCTAGCTTATTGTAGATAACTATGCTCACAAAAGCTATAACAGTGCTTGTGAACAAAATTAGATTTTCTATCAATCATATGTCACGTTAATAGTTTAAAATGCATCATCGATCAACATAACTGAATAACAAGAAGTCAGAAAACAATGACATAGGAATAAAAGGGACGTTATATATAGAGAAGATGAACAAACAAAGTACTCCGTATTAATTAAAATAACTTAAACACCAGTAAGCTTATAGCCGGTAGAAATGAAACTCGAACTCATGAACACGGCAAATCGCTCTTAAATGGTTGTTTAGGATTTAAGTAAACGTACAAGATGAACATAAAACATGTATAGAGAAGAATTGTAATCACCTGAAGTTCGATCAAGCCATATAGTCAAAGCATGTTGGTCTAGCCTTTGATGTTGAGGACCCCATAAATTTCTATAACCTTTCCAAAATCTAAAAGACCTAAACATCTTACTAGGATAGTAACCAGGAGATGGTGGCCATGATGAACCAATGCTATTGGTACAATGGACCAAAAATAGAAGGCAAAAGAAGAAGAATTTCTCAATAATCATACTATTATTACTATTATTATTAACAATATTATAAATGAGAGAAAATAATATATGGTGAAAGAATTGTATGTTATTTATAAAAATGAGAATGAAGATTTTGATTTGATTTGGTTCTTGTTGTTTGAGTGTATAAATATGGAGTGAGTGTGCGTGTGAGTGGGAGTGAGATGTCGGTGTGTGTGTGAGTAGTAATGAAAAAGCATGGCCGCAAGCTTACAGTCCATATAAATCAATATTAAGTTTTGGCAGGCCCCATCTTAGACAAATTATGACAAGATGAATAGTTTTATTTAATTTATGCAAGCATGCATACCCGCCTATCAAGTAATGTTGAGCCTAATTAGATTCGGACTAATCTGAATTTGAGCTTAGTCACATCTCAGTTTAGGAAAAAACTCTCCTAAAATGTACAGATTCGTTTTCAAGTATTGAACAAGTGACCATGCATGGCTAAGCCGGAACATCTCCCTTACCAACAAATCCAAACACTTATTGGTTGATTCTCTCATGCAACATATTTATTCTAAATTTTTGAAAACGGGATCATGGCTAAGTTAGAACATCCTCCTTTATCAATTGATTCAAATTAAATACTTATTGGTTGATTGGATCAATAGACAAATGATTTATTTTGTTTTCTTTCAATGGCTAGTTGGAAGGTACGGACATCTTAGACAAAATTACATCATGTGATCTTTTCTTGATTTCATTTTCAACTCTAGATCGGTGAATTCAATTTTGGAAGATACTTCGTATGGCACATATATTATACTGGCTTTGTATTTGTCACGCCAATCATACATCCGTGCGTAGTATGCTTGGATTGGGGGGCAATCTGGCGATGTGTGGTGTGTAATTGACTAATTGTATATGTTAATGCTGATGATGTAGGAGCGTTACGGTGTCTAACTATCTATCTAACACCCGAGTTTAAATACATCATCTCCTTCTTCACATTTATAATGCGTCGCAGCATGTGGAGACTGGAGATGATACGACTATATCTTATTGAGTGGCCGAGTGGGTGTTAAAATAATTCCATAATTGCTCCTACATTCTACTCCATATAACTAGAGCTGTCAAAAGCTAACCCAATCGAAAAATTTACCCGACCGATTATGAACCAACCTTTTTGAACCAGGAAAAATGGTGACCCGAACCCGATATGACCCAACCTGAAACCAACTCTAGACCAGAGTTAACCCGAGAATTTGAGACCCGAACCTGAACATGAACCGACCTGGAAATGACCTGACCTGAATATCACCCATAAATTATTGACCTAAACCAAACCCGACCTGAACCGAGATTGATCCAAACTTGTTTTAACCCATCAAAACCCGAATTTAACCCAACCTGCTACTAACCTGACTCGAATTCAATTCCAGTTGTTATTGACGCGACCCAAATTTTTACAGAAAGATTTAATGTTGGAAATTTTGACATTTGCTACCACTTAAATGACCATGTTTGACATTTGCTACCTGTTCCATTTTTTTTTTTTTTTAAAAAAAAAAAAATTTACTACCACCCAAATCCCAAAATTATAGTTATTGCTACCACTTAATAGAATCAATTAGGGTTCCGTTAAGTGGGGCCTATTATTTCATTAAATAATAATTTAATTTATTAAAAAACAAGAAAATAAAAAAAAAAAAAACTTAAAAAAAAAAATTCCCAGGCACCTCCCCCTCCCCATGTCGGTATCCAAACATTCCCCAGACGCCGGCCACCCCACCTCCTCCATTATATATCCCCCACCCACGCTGCCCCGAAACCACCCTAAATGGGTGAAAACAAAACCCTAAAACCCGCTTTGGGTGGGGGAAGGGGAGGGGGTATCGGTTTACCAAGGCTATGAAGGTTGAATTTGGTTTTGTTTGTTTTAGATCTGGATTTGGCGGCCAAATTCAACCACCATAGCCTCTGTTTTGGTAGTGGCCTGAACGGGGACGGTGAATAGGAGAAATAAGGGCGGTGAAAGGGGGCTAGCAGTGAAGATTGATGTCGCCGATGACGATTGATGTCAACAGTGAAGATTGATCGATGTCGCCGGTGACGTATCGTGGGTGGGGAAAAGGGGGGTGGGGTCGTCGACGCCAGGGGATCGTTTGGGCGCTGGCATGGGAGAGGGGCTAGCAGTGACGGTGGCTGAGGAGGGAGGAGAGGCTAGACGGTGGTTGGGCCCCACTAACGCAAACAGTAACGACATAAGGCAACATGTAGTGATATCTATAATTTTGGGATTTGGGTGGTAAAAAAATAAAATATAAAATTAAAGAGGTAGTAAATGTCTATTTTAATGGTAGAAAATATCAAAATTTTCTTTAATATTTAGATCATAAATTTAAGAGTAGAATTCGAACTAGAAATTTATTTGGACCGATTACTCACTCCTTGCTGAAGATAGAAAGTGGCAGTGAGAATTTGATTTTGAGAGTGGGAGCCTGGGAAAGGCAAGCAGGCCTAGCAATGGTGAATTATAGCCATGGGTTGATCTCTGAATTTTAGTATATTAGGAAAGCTACACTCTAATGGCAACATTATACGATATTCCAATATATATAAGGAAAAATTAGAAGTAATAATCCCAACTTTCATGAATTTTGCTAGAATAATCCCAACTTTAGATTATTCTTGAATAATCAAAACTTTGGGGGGTTCTTTTTTTTTCAATCCTTAATTGGTCAAGAAAAGTCAAAAACCTATTATATCAGGTCACTTGACACGTGTCAAGTCCTAATTGGTTCAAAAATAATAAAAAATTAAAACAAAAAAAAAAAAAAATACAGAAAACCACCTAGCTTCCCTTTCCCCCACCGATCCACCCTAACCTCCACCACCACAACCCAGCCCGCCACCCCACCGATCCACCCTAACCTCCACCACTACAACCCAGCCCGCCGCGTCTCCCCCACCCCTTGAGTCGCCGTTTTCCCCCCTCCCCAAAACCCCACACAACCACCGAGATCACCAAAACCCCACGCAACCACTGTAACCCCAAAATCGCAGCCACGAAACCCCAAAATTGCATCCCCAAAACCCCAAAATAGCAGCCACCAGTTAAAACCCCAAAAATCCACTAAGGAAAACGGAGGTTTCAGGGGTGGGTTAGGTGTTTTTGGGAGTAGAGGAGGGGTTCCAAGGGAGTTTCGCGAGCGGTGGCGCACAGGTCGTCGGGGGCAATTGAGAGGAGAGAGAAAATGAAAAGGGGTTTCTGTGCGTGGCTGGGCAATTAGCCGGTGGGAGGAGGGGTAACAGTGGGCGACGGTCAGGCGAGGGGAGGGGAAAACCAGCGGAGTTGGGGCGGCTGGCGGCGTTGAGGGGTGGCAAATTATTGGCGTCAACGGTTTGGCTCAGACCGTTGGGTGTTTTTTTTTTGTTTTTTTTTTAGTTTTTTTAACCAATTAACATGTGACACGTGTCACTTTTTAAAAAAATAATAAAAAATTAACCTATTCAACCGGTCACCGATTTTTGGGATTGAAGAAAAAGAGGAACCCTTAAAGTTGGGATTATTCCAGAATAATCCAAAGTTGGGACTATTCTACCAAAATTTATGAAAGTTGGGATTATTATTTCTAATTTTTCTTATATATAAACTCCTTTTGTTACACTTTTTTTTTGTTAGCTAATTCAGTCAGCAAGTATATTTTTTTTCTTCTAATAACCCCAGTATTTGAAATCTGAACTCCAACATGACCCGACCTAAAGATGACCGGACTAGAATATAACCAATGAATTATTGACCTGAACCGAACCTGACCCGAATCGAGATTGACTCAAACCTGTTCTAACCGTCAAAACCCGAATTTAACTTGATCTATTACTAACTCGACTCAAATTCAACCCGACCTGTTATTGACCTGACTTGAAATCGATCCAAACCCTATAGGATGCATGACCCAATGTGACCCGACTCGAACATGACCTGACCCTAACTCGACCCGCTTAGGTAATGCTATAAACCCGAATTAACCCAAACTGAGTTGACCCGACCCACATTGACCCGAATCAAACCCAACCCAAATACCCGAATTGACAGCTATACAATACATGAGTTTGACCATCTATATACGAAAGCATATACTTGAACATCAATAAAATTAATTAATGTAATTAGAAAACAAATTAATATGTATTTAAAAACATTTCATATGATACCAATTGGTTTTCTGTATTAATTCTATCAACATTTAATTATGAGTATTGTATTTGATCATCGTCTATTCTAGAATTATCTAAGTAGCCAAGGAAATTAATTCGAGTCTCATTCTGCGAAGTTCCTTAGGAATAAGGAATCTTTTAGTAGTGTTGAGAATGTCGAAATTATTTTCGATTCACTAAGTGTTCAAGACAAGTAGTTGCTAAGACTAGAAAAGGTTTTTTCTGGTTTTAGTGCACTAAAGAATCTAGATTGACCCTTTGCTAGTATAGAATGTTTTTACAAGTCAAGGCTATCTTGGGTGATGTCATGTTATGAGAAGGTACCGGGTTTAAGAAGATTAAAAGGGGTTGATACCCTCTCAATATGTCATCGGCAGTCTAAAGTCCCTTGATCTATCATTGGAACTCTAGCTAGTCCATGAATTTAAAAAAGTAAAATATGAGAAAATGGGGGTGCTTCGGCATTTGTAGCCTAACAATTGAATAAAAGATTGACATATGCTGCCAAAACAATACTCGATGTCCACAAGATAGAAATACATGAGGCACATATCCAAATCCAGTGAGAGAGAATAAAATCGGCAACTCTCTCAGCAGTTTTGTCCACAAGATGAAAACACGCGTCTCAGGACTAGGGGCACGTGTCTAAATGGGTGCAGCTTCAGCAGGGGCCGCTCTTTTTACAGGGGGTGGACGGACACCCTAACTGTCCGGTAAAGCTAGATTGCTTCCTAGCTAAACGTATTTGCTTCCAACGGGGGGCGTCTGACCCCGATGGTTCGGCGCGCTCGTCGACTCGTTTTAGCTAACGCCTTAACAAAAACAGAAGTTCCACCGTTTTTTACGGGAGGCAGATCACGTTGCTAGTGCAATTTTACACAACACATACGCCATACAATTTTACGCTGTACGATACAAGGTATTTTTGTTATGGACACCAAAATACGAAAAACGTGACATTTCTAAAAGGGTAGTACAGGAAAATGCCAAACTATGTATGGAATCTCTTACGTAAAGCACCACTACGGGATATT